CTGAATAAACGGCAAGCTGTCAAGGAAAAGGTGTGAAATAGTGCGTGAATGTAAATATGTGCGTGACTGCACATTCAATAACTACACAAATGAAACTTTGAAGAGATAACTGAAGAAAGCGTGTGTCAAAATCCACAATGAGTCTTGTGTGCCACGATCAAGACGGAACGAAGGCTGTGAGTTCTCCGTGGTACCACGGGTACACCACCTACTCAGCCAACCACTCGCCATAATTCTTGGGGACGAAGGATGTTAATAAAGTCGTATCAGTGAACATTTCTTGACCCTAGATGGGACATTGACTGGAGCTAATTTCGGCAATCAGAACGGAGACACGTCCTTTGTCAGCTTGTATTTTTTAATATGCTTGTTTGTCGCAATATCGATAAACGCTGTATTGTTATCAGTGACAGCAATGTAATGAAAGGCATAGAATGTGACATGCGCGGGGCTGAGACAGCCATGTGGTGACAGAGAGATCGAGTGGTTTCCCATAAGGCAGTAACGTTCAAGGATGAGCAAAAAGGAATGTGAGGGTAAACCTTAATACTTATCGCCCTTCGACTCTTACTTTATTATTGGGTCTCCTTTATATTCCCTTGTCCGAATTACTTCCCATTAAGTCCTTTACCTTTGCTCTCACCACTGACCCTGGTAGTATTGGGTGTCGGTTCTCGACGTAAAGCTCTCTCATGTTTAACCAACATCTCGGAAGGGCCATACTTGGAGGAATGTGGGCTTTTGCTGTCAGAACTCCCGAATCGTTTAAGCGAGGCTACTGCCGCTTATGGGTTTCTTAGAGCGTGCATTAAAGGCAGTGATTACGATAGATCCAAGAAGGGTTTATGGAAGAAAGGTGGAGAAATCCGTCAAGAAAACGCAAAACGGGACCCCTTTTTTGGCCGTTGGTTTTCACTCATGAACAGGTAACAGCTCAGAAAGCGGACGTATGAACGAGTTCACGCAACGCGTTTGGTGACACATGCCAAACCACGCTCCAATCGAGTTGCTCCAGTTGTGCCGCTGCTGGCAACGCAGCTCGTCCAAATCACCAACTAAACTAGTGGATCGCTTTTGGGGGCGGAGTGCTTTCGAAGTCCTGCTCAGCAACCAGCGCACCTTTCGTCGTGAAAGCGCCACATCTCGCTTCCCTGGCAGCCAAGTAACTGATTCGTGTGGTGAATAT